ATCTTTGGAGATAGAACCTTGCGGTTTTCGCGGTCCTGTGCCACTTTTTTGTGAAACTCAAGATGGCCTAATCAGATTTTGCAAGACTGTTTCCGTTTATGAGATACAGGGTGATTTTGAAAATTTATACTTTTTGGACCCCCTCTACATTCACGAAGTTTCTCAACAAAAATGTCGAATCAAAATCTTATCGCATAGAGAATCTCACGAATAATCCAGTGGCGCACTTAATTTTTTTTTCGGGGTATGGTTTTGGAGATACGACTCAAATTTATGATTTTTTAAATGGAACACCCTGTATTTCATATGCTCATTAAATTCCTTATTTTTTTGTCTTCAAAATGATATATAAAGAATGAATATAAAATTTTCAAAATTGCTCAAAATCGCTAAAATATTGAATTTTGACAGTTGGTTATGGATTTTTCTTATAAAAAATGTTTCAATTGAAGAAATATTTATTCAAATTTTTCCATGGAGAGGTCAAAACCAATATCAATACTTATTAATTAACAAAACACTAAACTTGGGTACCTGATAGCAACAAATAAATAGTAATAAAAAGTTCATAATGTAGAATGAGCACCTGATTAAATATTTACTAAAATAATTGAATTCCGGAATTATTCAGTAACTTATTCATTGACATGTTCAAATTGATATCCATTTTCCCTAACATACAGTTGACAAACTTTCTTAATACTTCTTAATACAGTGAGTGGCCCAACATACTTGAAGAACTTTGTGCAACAACAGAGGCAGTTTTCCAGGAATTACAAAGACATCTTTCAATGATTAATATGTATTGAGAAAGTTTGTGATGGAAAATGGACATCAATTTGAACAATTCAATGAATAAATCACTGAATAATTTCGAAATTCAATTGTTTTAATAAATATTCAATCAGATGCTTATAAACTTTTTATTACTATATATTTGTGGATATCAGGTATCTAAGTCTTGTGTATTGCAAGTTAATTAGTGTTGAAATTGTTATTTCCCCCTTCATGGAACAATCAAAGCAAATATTCCTTCAATTGTAAATTTCTTTATATGAAAATCCATCTAAAAACCCATAGCCCACTATTAAAATTCAATGTTTTAGTGATTTTTGAACATTATTGAAAATGTTATATTCATACATCATATATCATTTCGAAGGGAAAAAATGAGGAATTTAATGAGCTCATAAAACACAGGGTGTTCAATTTAAAAAATCATAAGTTTGAGTCGTACCTTCAAAACCACACCCCGAAAAAACATTTTTTGTGCGCCACTAGATTCTGCATAAAATTCTCTATGGGTTAAGATTTTAATTTGACATTTTCGCTGATAAACTTCGTGATATAGAGGGGGTCCAAAAAGTATCAATTATCAAAATCGCCCTGTATCTCATAAACCGAAACAGTCCTGCAAAATCTGATTAGGCCATCTTGAGTTTCACAAAAAAGTGGCACAGGACTGCGAAAACCGCAAGGTTCTATCTCCAAAGATAACTGAGATATCATGCGAAAGCATAGAAAACTGGACACACTGTACAGGGTGGCCAACTAAGTTCGATTTCTCTGTTGTCTTGAGAGATACAGAAAAAAGTCATGTATCAAAATTGAAGTGATAACCGAGCTTCACATTTCAAAATTCCTTTGAAATACACAGGGTATTCCGTAAGGTCACAGCACATCAAACCTATGTTTTTTTCATTGGAACACCCTATATTTCATTCCATTTTTGAATTTTCCCTGAAGATCTGATTCCAACGACGTATCATACTTAGGGTCTAGCAGTGAAAGTTACTGACCTATAGGGTGTGCAAAATCGAGATTTTCCAAGTTCAAGATTTTTTTTGTCGAAACTGTTCCTTATTCGTCAAAACGGTTTACATTTCCCTATCTAACTTTTCACTCACTATCAATTGGTGTTCAATTAAAATTGATACAAAGTGGTCAAAAAATCTGAATTTATAATTTGTTTTAATTAAATGTCAATTGAACACCAATTGATAGTGAGTGAAAAGTTGAGATAGGGACATGTAAACCGTTATGACGAATAATGAACCATTTTGACAGAAAAAAATCCTGAACTTGGAAAATCTCGATTTTGCACACCCTATATGTCAGTAACTTTCACTGCTAGACCCTTAGTATGATGGGTCGTTGAAATCAGATCTTCAGGGAGAATTCGAAAATGAAATAAAATATAGGGTGTTCCAATGAAAAAAACATAGCTTTGATGTGCTGTGACCTTACGGAACACCCTGTGTATTCCAAAGAAATTTTGAAATGTGAAGCTCGGTTATTACTTCAATTTTGATCCATGAATTTTTTTTTGTATCTCTCAAAACAACAGAGAATACAGAGATATCGAACTCTGGAGTCTTAGTTGGCCACCCTGTACATAGCCCTGAGGTCAAAATAAGCGGATTCAAAGCAATCTTACCATAGTCCGAAATGTTTTATGTAGAATAATAGTAGTGAATTTTTCTTTTAGGCTCTCTGATAGGAAAATTCTTTAAACGCAGTGACATTTTGGGGCAAATCATCTGATTTGTCCTTACTACACGTATATTGAAATAATATTCATATTTTTATTTTATAGAAACGAGGAGAGAAAATCCCAAAAAATTTGGAATAATGAGTAGATTATATATCCAGAGAGTAAAGCGCATGATTTTTTCAGAGGTGGTTTCGTAGCCAGAGGTTGCTACAATGCACTGAGGGAAGAAAGAACTCACTTCCGAGGTTTATATACCATTTTTTTGCACGACTCGACGATTTTAATTGAAAGAATCTTATGATAAAATCTATTATTGTCAATTTGGAAATGAAAATCTGAACACAATAATCCCATAATCAAGTTTGATTATCATGACTACCGATAAAGAAGATATAGCCATAAGCCATATTGCTTTTTGTGAACATCGAAAAAGTGTGGTAGCATATTTTCTCATTTGCTTTCCAAAGTTTTTTCAATAAATATTGCAGGAATGTGTGGAAAAACTATTGAAGAAGCTGCTGCAAACATAGTGGTACATTTATTGCCAGAAAAATCCCGGAAAATTATTTAGCATAGAGAGTGCGTATACTCTGTATACCCTGTATTCCCGCTTTTGTCGGTGTAAAATCACTTATAGGTCGTGCAAAAACAGTTTATCTGATATGTTCTGATTATTGTATATACATTATTTATTGTGACTTGCCCCTCCCTGAGATTATTTCTCCGGACGCCCCTGTCTAGGAAGAAGGTTCATTTAGGCGGAAAAATAGTCTCCCTTCTCCTATGCATAATATGCAGAATAGTTATTTGTTTTACTAGGCAGAAAAGTATAGTTGTCAATCTGCATTTATATACTGCCGTGTGAATCATATTTTTTTCTCCAAAACTCCATTTTTTGTTCACCCACTGTCAGTGTCAATTCTGATTACTAATTTTATTAGAATTTCTTGGAACGTTGCATAGCAACTAGGTTTTCCTGCCTAGGCAGTAAAAGTACACCTTTAATGCCTGTTATGTATCAGAGAAAAGCCACTTTCCCTGCCGCTAGGAGAAAAAGGATATTTTCAATTTCATTCCTCAACCCTCGGGCAAACAGAGTAACGGCTGAAAATGGAAGTTACGCTGTTACCTACACTGTTTGCCGACAATACGTGAAATGACTAGGCATTTCAGGAAATGACGAATTTCACTATTTACCTATACCACATTGTAATCAAATCCTGATTAAAGAAATATTGCTTGGAAAAATATATCGACGTAATGAAAGCATATTGAAGCCAATATAATATTTTCTTCCTGTGTTTCATGCTTACGATCTTATTTTATTCTCATATTCCCGATGATAGTCATTATTCCAAAAAATTCTTGTCTCATGGCATCATATTTTTTCACGTCACTATTTCCATTATTCAGAATTGGGATTTTATGTCTGGCAGTTTACTTTTAACTTTCACCACCATCATGTTCATTTAGGCCGATATCAAAGGAATCAAGTCCTGAGTATCAGACTAAATTAAAGTTTCGGACGACGATTATTTTAAGCTTTCTTGTAAAAAATATCTATATCAAGTACCCTTTGGGTTTTGTTGAATTGACTTCTATGTTCATAGAAAATAATTTAAAAAAAAAAATTAAATGATAAATTATTCAGTGCTAGAAAAAAAAGCCATCAATGACGTTTCAATAGGCCTTTTCATCTAGATATATTTTTAAGACGCATGCGCTCGTTTTTAGATACAACAATTCATTGGGTAATGCGACGGTGAAGTCTCATTGGCTATAGTTCCAACACAAAATGCTGATTGGCCATTTCGAATATGGCGGGTATTATTGACGTTCTGTCAAATGTCAACCACCATGGGCATTTGTCATTGAGAAACAACAATAACAACATAGTAGTAGTGATAGTATTCTTGTTTTTATATTCCTGGTGTGTATTAATTGTAATATAATAAGTTAATGCCAAAAAAACGTTAATTATTCGTTACTGAGGAGTGTGGTGTAAGTGTTTCGGTGAAAATGGCCGCCACTGTTGTTGAATGCGAGATGTAAACAGAGATAGTCATTTGTCATCTAAATGAAAAGGCCTATTGACAACTTCAATGCACCCAGTGATTTGGAAATGAATACCTAACATGTTATCCAAGTATGTATGTGATATAGGTTATCATCTCATTTGGAAAATATGCCGTTGTTTTATGTTCCTTTCTTAATGCAACACCCTGGTATATATACATACATTTTATAGTGAGTCAGATAAAAACAATACATAAATAAAATTGAAATGCTTATATGGTACCTACTTGTTTGAATAATCAAGAATAAATCATAAAATTATCAGCAATTTAGATAATTGAAAAACCAAATACTCTCCAAGAAAGACCTTCCTTGGTTGGATCTTATTCCATTTTGATCCCTCTTTTTCTTTATTTACCATACTATATTTACCATTCATTATGCTGTAGTAAAAACATTTCATGTACCTATATGTTAATTGCCATTCATTCTCATCTAATATTTATTATATTCCTTGAATGATTGTTTAAATGTATTATTAGACATTGTTATTGATTGATTATTACTACAGGGTAATTTACACAAAATGCTTTAAGTACAATATTGTTTTTTATTTGGTAATCCATTAGGATCACAGATCACATTCCTACCAACTTAGAAGGTACCGTCGAATGAGGTGGCTTCGGACGGTACCGGTGATTTCGGACAGTCGGTACTTTTCGCTCTCAATCGTGAATGTCGCGGAAGGAGGTATAGCGATAGACGTGAATCTTCTGCAGGCTGCAGGTTGAATCTTGTTTAACTTGTTAGTATAGGTCCGGTGGTCGAGAGTGTAGTTTGCGTAGAGAGGTAAGGAAGAATTGTTCACGTCGGTATTTATATGAGCGTATTTTTATTGCGAATTCTCAAAAGTGAAAAAGTAACTGCTGTAGCACTTTTTGTGTTGAATGTAGAGCTCAGTGGCATATGTTCAATCAAAGGGTGATGTTCAAAGAATGCTTTGATGATGTATCTGTTTGAAAATTTCATAGAATTTTTTAATACAGGGCGATAACCAGAACATCAGCATTATTGCGGAAGACTTCGGACATGGGCCGGACCTATAGAAAAATCCTTGGCGGACGTTCGTACCAATCGTACCAATGAATCGTCAGAAGAGGATCGACACTAACGAGAGAGTAGAAACTATTTCTACTAAGACTGATTTAGAAAATTTGAAGAAAAATGATTTCGCAATAATCAAAGTGCCTATATTCAATTCTAAGAAATATAAACTTTATGTTGCCCAAATTTTATCACAATTGGGAGAGAATTTGGGGAGGAATTTTGGTTCTCATTTCCATTCCGGATTGATGAAGCGACTGTGAATTATACAGAAATTCACCAAAAAATTACTATGGATGAGTTTAGAAGAGGAAAATACAAATTTTGTGATTTGAATGATATTGTCATAAAATAGCTTTATTCGTTTTTTTGTGATACATGAAGTAAGTTCCTACTTTGTTGATTATTTTTTAGGCAGAATGCTATTTTATTTTTGTAAGAATGTTACTATTTATTTTATTCTTAAAGAATCTTTTTCAAATAAAAAATATTTTTCTCATGTTGTGTCCGAATTATTTTTGTTGAGACGAGAAATACATTTCCTATCGTCAACAATACGCGTCCGAAGTCAATTTCCTAAGATAAAATAAATTCGGACAAAAAATTGAATTTTTGATGTTCCATTTTTTTAAAAATTCGAATTCATGTCCGAAGTTGAGTCTGATGAAGCTGGATGTCGTTTTCATGCGCTTTTGAAGGGGTGTCCGGATTCACCACACCTATCCAGGTAACTTCGGACACTTTTCAAAATAAAAAAAAAATATTCCTAAAAATGAAAACAAAAGTTCTATAGGTACCACGAATCGATTCATTTATATGAGTGCTACATTTCGTGAAAATTTCGTGTCAAAACATTGATTTTTCAAAAAGTTACAGCGAAAAAACTGTAAAAATCGTCCGAAGCCTCCTCATTCGACGGTACAGGTTTTCTAATATGATCAGAACTTTCAATGCATTGATATTGGTTACCAGATTAGTACATTATAATCACAAAATTCTACTTGTTACAGTACTACAATGTCTCACAGAGTCTTTCAGCTTATAAACTAGATCTTGTAGTTCCTGAGATGTGCAAGTGAAATTTATAGTAGACATCTTTTTTGTCTCTGTTTCTGGATCATACTTGTCTGTGACAAGACATATCCTGAACAATGGGCCTTCAGAGGAATCCATTGTACTTGACTGAAAAATAAAACCTTTGTGAAATGCCTCACAATTCACAAAGAAATTGCACAGCTCAAATTGAGATGCCTAGATATACAGGGTGTCTGTAAAAGGTCTTTACAAAAACATACCACATATTCCCTAGACCAAAATAAGTTGATTTGAGTCAAATTACCTTAGTACAAAGTTGCATCGGTTGGGCTCCAGAGGGCCTTGAAGTTACATTACTATATAAATTTAAAAAGGCATAATATGCGATTTTGCTGAAATTTGGTATATTGATAGAGTTTTATGTGGCAAAAAAAATGGTCTTAAAATTTTGTCCGATAATAATGCATAGGCGTAGAACTTTATTTTTTAAATAATTGCACCTTTAAAAATTCTACGCCAATGGAAGAAAAGGAGTTTGAGTATGAAATTTAGATTGCGCAACTCATTTACTTTAAAAAAGGTACTCTTGATAAGACTCGATTGCTCTCATGGTTTTGCCGAAATTTGCATCTTAGTAATTTTAAAACAAACAACAATTATTAAAATACAAACTTTGTCAAAACCATGAGAGTAAATCGAGTGTTATCAAGGGTACTTTTTTGTAGTAAATGAGTACCCAATCCAAATTTCATACTCGAACCCCTTTTTTGCCATTGGCGTAGAATTTTTAAAGGTGCAATTATTTAAAAAATCAAGTACTACGCCTATGGCAGAGAAGGGGTTTGAGTATGAAATTTGGATTTGGTACTCATTTACTACAAAAAAGCACCCTTGATAACACTCGATTTACTCTCATGGTTTTGACAAAGTTTGTATTTTAATAATTGTAGTTTATGTTTTAAAATTACTAAGATGCAAATTTCGTCAAAACCATGAGAGCGATCGAGTCTTATCAAGAGTACCTTTTTCAAAGTAAATGAGTTGCGCAATCTAAATTTCATACTCAAACTCCTTTTCTTCCATTGGCGTAGAATTTTTAAAAGTGCAATTATTTAAAAAATCAAGTTCTACGCCTATGGCAGAGAAGGGGTTTGAGTATAAAATTTGGATTTGGTACTCATTTACTACAAAAAAGTACCCTTGATAACACTCGATTTACTCTCATGGTTTTGACAAAGTTTGTATTTCAATAATTGTAGTTTATGTTTTAAAATTACTAAGATGCAAATTTGGTCAAAACCATGAGAGCAATCGAGTCTTATCAAGAGTACCTTCTTTAAAGTAAATGAGTTGTGCAATCTAAATTTCATGCTCAAACTCCTTTTCTTCCATTGGCGTAGAATTTTTAAGGTGCAATTATTTGAAAAATAAAGTTCTACGCCTATGCATTATTATCAGACAAAATTTCAGCAAAATCGCATATGCCTTTTTAAATTTATATGGTAAAAATGATTTAAAAATTGTAACTTCAAGGCCCTCTGGAGCCCAAACGATGCAACTTTGTACTGAGGTAATAAGACCTTTTACAGACACCCTGTATAAACATCTCAGCTGAAACATTATGGTTTTCAGATAGGTGCACAATATCATGTCTACCTTCATAATATAATCAATTTTCCATTTAACATCAGTAATGTGTGGTAGGGAATCACCAATGTTCAGCAAGGACATTTCAATGCCCAACCTATGTTTGTAAAAATCATGTAGAAATATTTCTACTCTGGATGAGGACAATCCACAATCATCACTTAGGTATTGCTGAATGTCTTCTTTACAATATGCTCTTCTTACAAATTCAGTGGTCACAGAAAGTAGTGCTGCATAGAATTCTTTGGTAATATCTGGCTTTGAATCAAAGGTATGAATGCCTGAAGAATTTCATGCAGGATTATAATATAAACAATAATATTATGTTTCCTAAGTGCCTCACATTTTCATCCCTAGAGTTGTTCATGATCTTCAATAAATCAATAAGAGGTCATGGAAATGTGATATGTACAATTGTCTTCAGTGAACATGGCGCACATGGATGGTGTGTGCTCTCTAAATCACTGCTGCAACCATGACATGTTTTCTGAAGACGACTGTACCTACCATATTATGAAAATTTTTTGATATATATTATTATTTTGTGTTAGTTAATATAGTGATTGTTTCTCATTCCTCCGAATTCTTACCATGTATTTTATCTTTTTCTGCCAGGACAGAAAAACAATTATCCAATGCTTTTTTGAATGAGGTATCAGTGATAATATTTTGATTCTTTGCAAGTGCTATAGAATCTTTATACTGCTCAAGTAATTTCATTTCACGTCGGATCAATACAAATCGACTTTTCACCTATTCCTCCTAAACTGTTTTTACTGAGGTTTTTACCTTAATCTTTCAGTTTATTTCTTATTTTGGATAGTATTTCAGTTGTGTTGTTTTTGTTTTATTGTCAGAGTGTCAGAGATCATGAATTGACTATATTGACATGAATGAAGACATGAAACAACAAAACTTCTTGTTTTATCAAATTGTGACTTGTGACATACGTCAGAATGTCGAGAACATAAAAGGTTGGCCGTGTCGTCGAGCCGAGTCTACAGTCTAGAGGTCTACTTCGTCTAGTTTTGGCTAGAGTCACTGGATGGTATTAGTTTGATAAGAGTTCGGACACAGCTGAACTTTTGTCCTTTTCTATTTTCTATAATACAATGGTTTAAGTGAATAAAAGAATAAGACATATATTCTGCTCTTTGTCTTTTCAATTTCCCTAAAAGCACCTGATTGTCAAATACGATTTTAGAGGTTATATTTTCTGTCAAATCAATCATAGCCGTAGATGGACAATGGATATAGGGTACAAACACCCACTTCAATTTATAGTGATACACTTCTAGCAGAACAACTGTTATATAAATGAGAAGAAAGCATGTACCAACGTTTTAATATCAGAAAATATACACATATGGATGAACTTATAGCTATAAATCCTTATTGTATGTCAAACTGTACTCCAGTGATAAGTATAAAACATGCATGAAGATATTAATATTTAATTAAAGGTAGGTATTCTCAATATACAGGAAGTAACATAAATACGGTCAAGTGAAGTATTCCTGAGGCAATTTTAAGAAATAAAGTGTATTTAAGCTTGTGTCCGGAAATGTTTCATTTCGGAGATACAGGGCGTTGAAACACAGAGAACAAATCATTTTTCGATAAACATTTCCTTGGAAAAAAGTAGTTAATTTTGACGAGACCTACCAAATACATTTTTCGGTAAAGTTCTCAGCAACTCAACTTAGCGCCTTAGGATTTAAGCATCTAAGATCTCTGATCTAAGTAACATCCCAGCAAACATCGAAAGGCGGTAGAAAGCCGGGCCCATGGCGAGAACGGCGGGCAAATGTCGATGCCGGCATGCCTCGAAAGGCCCTCCATATAATTTCGAAGGATTATATGACGGAGGCAGAATGTACACATACTTATGATGGGCCTCTGTTTCCCAGCCGCTAGTCTTCCGCTGTATGTATCCAAGTCCAAGGGCCATCAAAATTTCAACGGAGTGTGCCGTCATCACTCACTCAACGTTGGTATCCCTCGCTAGCGTGAGTTTTTATTTCGATCATTTTGCAGTGGTAACAATGATTCAGTATGGCGTATATTAATTTCTTTGTTTATGTTGTTTCAACACTCTCAACAGAGATTTTAGTATTGTGTTCAGTTCGTGTTTGGTTTTCTAGTGGATTTTTATACGAAATGGAAGGATATTACAGAGTGAGTGAGGAACAAACATATATACAAACTTGCACAGCTAAATAATTCCCCTATTTTAGATAATAATTTTACAAACACCATTGGACAAACAGATGCAATAATAGTTTGGACATGTTACGCGGATACACAAGAATCTAATAATATAATAATATAAGGACTTTGAAGATGCATGAGCTTTCATTACATATGAATCATAAATCTATTTTCAAAACGACAATCAAAGAGTACCTACTTGAGGAAACAGTTATATTTCAAGAATTACTGTAGGTATATGTATAATGTTGCAAGTTTTGGATTGGTAGAGAATGAAATCATTCAATCTTTCAGCTACAAAATCAACAACCAGAAGCCCATCAATCACAGATATTGATGAAGAAATCACACAATGATCCAGACTATGATATAAATTTCTTCATGGTATATGATATCTCACTTCCAGGCAACACTCATATCAATATGATAAAGAGTGAGGTTCTCCATATCTGGGAATTGTTTTCTTGTGGATTGAACTCTATTGTTGACCATAACTTGATCAATATAATAACTGATTACCTTCATACATAACTTTCAAGTTATTAGGTAGGTACATAGGTGATGTAATTTTTGACCTAGAATCAGCAACTCTTTGAAACAAGTGGAGTAAATTGTAGGTTCCTTTTCATGATGAGTATACAGAGTGATATGTAGAACTAAAATTAAGATGTTTGATATTTCCATAGTTGTGATATGTATTGTTTGAGATCATGGCAATAATATACACACATGGATATTTTCAGTTCTTGTTTTTGTATGGGGTATTTATACTGCTAGTTTCCTGGAAATAACTGTGATATCAGGATGCTACCTCAGAGATTTTTATGTAATTATTCAACAACTTCAGGTAAGGAGTGAATTCCACATTTCTGTTATACCCAGAGAGGATTCACAAAAAACTGGGAGACCTCAATTCTGTTTTTTGAAGTTCCACATTTTTCAACCAGTTTGAAAATAAAGAGAGTGATGAAGATCTGAGTGAAAATGAGATACTTTGCTTTCCAAGTGGTGATATAAACTGGGATACCTTTCAAAAAACTTATTTTCACTGAGATATATGCATTACCCTGTATATTTTTTGACAAACCCAGTTGAAAAATAGGACATCAAAAAACAGAATACTATGAATATTGAATTCATTCAACCCCGTTAACCAACGGCCCTGAAAAACTCCTCTATCGGGGGAATAAAAATTCTCAAGCGGCCAATTAATGGCAGTATCTGAAAAGTCTCAATCGGGCCGAAGATATGCCATGAATGTGGTACATTTGAGTACTTGCTTCTGCCCACCAGAAGCCCTGCAATGTAATAAGCGGCATACTGATGGCTCTAGAGAGGCGGTCGGCTGTCGGCCGCCGGGACACGGGCTAGCCGGCCCAATTTAGTTGTACAATAGAGGACCGCTGTTACCGCTCGCCGGCAAGTTTCATTGTACCTTTAGAGGGCCGCAAAAATCATGTTTGCTGGGATGGATCGATATACCAAATACATTTTTCTGAAAAGTTCTCAGCAACTTCAGTTAGCGCCTTAGGAGCTAAGCATCTCAGTAACATATGGATCGATATACCAAATATATTTTTCTGAAAAGTTCTCAGCTACTTCACTTAGCGCCCTAGGAGCTGAGCATCTAAGTAACATGGATCGATATAGAAAATATCTCCAAAACGATAACCTCCAGCGTTCCTTTGATACATAAATAATAATTCACTTTTCACTGTTGAATTTTGAATTTGATCGGCACCAAAAACGCCATTCAATGATATATCACGTTGTAGTTTCCTTAGTTTTGCTTTCAAATTTCCAATTTCATTATGTAATTTTACGGTCATGTCCTCTTTCCATGATTATTTTGTTCTGTATTTCGTGTGATGATAATAATAATGGAATAGCAGATTCTCTCAAACAGATTTTGAAATCTTCTGTTCCAAACTGGACCTAAAATATAGTTTCATTCTGTGATCAGATGCTGTTATAAGAAGCTAATTTTAATGAGTACCTCACAAATTTCGCTCGTCTTGAAATTGATTTTCCACCCAGGCCGTTTCATATCTTCCTTCCATAAGCGAATGGTTGATATTTGTTTTGGAAAATTTAATAAATGATATCCATTTTTATCAGATTTGGCACAATTTATTACACAGCAAGTGATTTTCATAGCTGTTTTTTTCTCGAAAGTATAATAATTATTACTTTTCATTTCAAATCTGACGTTCATAAAATTTACTGTCAAACAAATTTGAATAAAAAGCGCGGGACGACTATGGTGCTATTGTCACAATGCAAGGTGTGTAACTTAATGAATCTAAACATTCAAAAACCCTAACAGTTGTCATTTCTGTGTCCGAACTCGAGTTCGGACACAGCTGAACTTTTGTCCTTTTCTATTTTCTATAATACAATGGTTTAAGTGAATAAAAGAATAAGACATATATTTTGCTCTTTGTCTTTTCAATTTCCCTAGTAGTGCCTGATTGTCAGATACGATTTTAGAGGTTATATTTTCTGTCAAATCAATCATAGCCGTAGATGGACAATGGGTATAGGGTACAAACACCCACTTCTAGCAGAACAACTGTTATATAAATGAAAAGAATGCATGTAACAACACTTTAATATTAGAAAATATACACATATGCATAAACTTATAGCTATAATTCCTTATTGTATGTAAAACTGTACTCCAGTGATGAGTATAAAACATGAAGTTATTTATATTAAATTAGAGGTAGGTATTCTCAATATACAGGAAACAATTATAAGAAATAAAGTCTATATAAGCTTTTGTGTCCGGAAATGCTTAATTTCAGAGATACAGGGTGCTGAAATACAGAGAACAAATCATTTTTCGATAAACATTTGATAGGAAAAAAGTAAGTTTATTTTGACGAGACCTACCAAATACTTGGTTTTGTAAAGTTCTCAGCAACTCCACTTAGCGCCCTAGGAGCTAAGTAACATGGATCGATATAGAAAATCTCTCCAAAACATTAACGTCCAGCGTAATTGAGGCCCTTATAATAATTCCCTTGATACATAAATAACTATCACTCTCCACTGTTAAATTTTATTTAATTTGGTCGGCAGCAAAAAACGCCATTCAATAATATATCGCACTTTGTAGTTTACTTGCTTTCCTTAGTTTAGTTTTCAAATTCTCAATTTCATTATGTAATTTCCTCTCCATGCTTCTTTTGTTTTGTATTTTGTATGATGATAATAATGGAATTTTGTTCTCGAATTCGCCTGCTTTGTGAATTGATGGAACAGCAGATTCTCACAAAAAGATTTTGAAATCTTCTGTTTGAAAATGGGCCTGAAATATAGTTTCATCCTAATCAGATGATGTTAAAAAAAGTGAATTTTAATGAGTACCTCACAAATTTCGCTCGTCTTCAAATTGATTTTGCACCCAGGCCATTTCATATCTTCCTTCTATAAGAGAATGGTTTATATTTGTTTCCGAAAATTGAATGAATTATATCCATTTTTTTCAGAATTGGCACAATTTATCACACAGCAAGTAATTTCTATAGCTGTTTTCATCTCGAATGGATAATTATGAAATTTTATTTCAATTCTGACGTTTATAAAATGTATTGTCAAATTCAAACAATTTCGAATGAGAAGGCGCAGGACGACTATGGTGCTC